TTGTTATTGATTTGAGTTTTGGGTTAACCTGTAATTTGGCTTTTCATTTCAGGCTTTTCCTTTTTAGGTTATTTTTACTTTAATAAACAATTTGTTTGGTTAGGCAAAAATTCTTGTGTGGTTTCCTTTTATGTTAACCTACCATACAAGCCTGGTAGATATAACAACAGCTATTGCAGAGAGTCAGGGATAAACTTGCCTCTGTCATTAACACACAACCAACTGAATTTGAATACTTGAATCCCGTTTGTTCTCAAGAGTTACAATTTCTTAGAGCTTATGTTGACCTTCCACGGGGTGTGGCAGTGTGTGTACAACAGATGTCTGAGGTTATCAGTTCTTGCCTTTCGCAGTTGAAAGGATCTAAAATTATATGACCAGGAAGAATAAACAAGGGGTGTGGCTTTGTACATAGATAATACTGTGAAATATAAAGTGGAAAACATGACAGCTGGAATTGATGATGTAATTGAATGTATATCTATAGAAGTTTTCATAAGAAGTAGAATGTTATCAGCTGTTTGTACAACACTACAGGATCTAACATGAGTAATTTCATGATAAAATCGTATTGTCTGAGATTTTAATACTCATCTAAATCCAAGAGAATGAAATTATTTCATTTATGTATAGTTTGAGCCATTATCCACTGATTTACTAAACCTAGCAGAATAACTCACTCAGCAACAGTTACCAACAGTGTATTCACTAAATATTTGAAATGCAGTTTAAGAAGTGGGCTGCTGATAACTGATAGAATTGACCATTTTTTCTGTTTTTGTGCTCCATGACTGTGTCCATAAAAAGATGAGGGAGAACCTTTATATACAAAAGGAAGATAGCAGAAAACTCAAAGGTATTCAAAGCTGAACTTGAATTAGTAAACTGGAATTGTATGAAGAAAATATTTAGATAGAGCTTTTGAAACATTGACTTACCGTTACCGTGTGATGCAACATTACCATGCAATGTTATTCATGTTTGAGAACCAAGGATTATCTTGAAGAATCTGGAAATAAAGTTAAGTTAGTCTTGGAACTAACTTAGGCAATAATTTCCATGTCTTTAAACAACCATTCACAATGCAAGATCAGATAAAATATTATTTTAATAAAATAATATTTTAATGAATGATTTGCTGAATAAAACCACCCTTCTGTATGACCAATTCTCAACGGTGTTTAATTAGCTGCCTTTATTTATTAAAATAATATTTAAAGAAATATTATTAAGGAAATTAAGGAAGGCACACGCGTTATGGCCGATCTTCTGTGTTTAAAATCACCCTTTAAATAAAGTTTGTCTTAACTTAAAAAAAAAAAACACAAACACAGAACACAAACTGAGCACGTGTGCTGAGCAGATAATCTGATAGCACTAAGATGGCTGAGTTTTCAACACAAACAAAACCAAACGTCATAAAACGAAAAATGTTTAGATTATTTCATTCTAAACTACTTCTCTCTGCCCAAAACACAACCTTTTATGTGTACCGTGCTGAGGAAAAGTTGTCCGGAGACGAAGTTGAAGAAAGCATCCACACTGAACAAAGGGTTAACTGCAGCTAACCTCCATAGCTGTGGGTGGTGGGGCGGCTCGTTCTGTTGGCCGGCCAAACTGCACGTTACTGCTGTAACCACGGTGATGCGGTACCGTTGTCCTTCCTTCAGACTGGGAAAACTGCTCCCCTCAGCATTGTAGAGACAGAGTCTCTGCTGGGAACTCTTTGGAACACAGTTTGCTTCTGTCGACCTCAGAAAGCGCTTGTACCTTAATTGCCCCGTTCATGAATGAATACCGGATACACAAACAGCAATTCATTCCTACTTAACTTAGTGCATATGATCGCATGATCGATTGACACTCTTGGAACCAGTTTGAAGAGTTATGTCAGTTTGCCAACAAAGAGACATTAGCGCACTGTGTCCCTCCGTCCAGTTCCTCTGGGGACCTGTGTGGAAGAGGTCAGTTTGTTGCAAAAGGGGGTTTTTATTCGGACAGTGACGTCACGGGAAGTCCACTGTTATTCCCTGTTCCTGGCTGTGCTGGAAGTAGGTTAATGCAATTTATTTTGAAAGTTCCTGAAAAGTTCGTACTGGCGTTTCATTTTGTAACCATGGCTGGGATCCCAACATTAATGAGACTTGTTGTTTTTTTCTCAAGCTTTATGTTGTGAAAAGTGAAATTTGGAAATGTGGGTTTCTTCTGTCTGATTTTATTTTACCCATCTATCCATTTTCTTTCCTCATTTATCCTCACAGGGTTGCAGGGGGCTGGTGCTTATCAGCAGTCATTGGGCAAGAGAAAATAATGTGCTGCACTCCAGGGCATACTTTGTCTAATGTTGTTTATTTTTTTATATTTATTTCATTCTTTAAAATACCAGAATTTTCTCATTACTTCATATTTTTGTCTGTCTGATAATGTCATTTTCACAAATTAAATCAGATGTTATTATCAAGCAGATGCTCAGTTCTTTTTTACTCGAGTAATTTTTTGGATGACTACTTTTTACTTCTACTGAAGTAAAAGTATATTGAAGTAGTGCTACTCCTTTAATTTTTGGCCACTCTATCCACCTCTGATTGGAGCATATCAATGAATATATGACATGATATTCATTCATCATCATTTCTCTGTTATACAGAAACATGCCATCGTCTTTCAAAGGAGCATCAATCCTCCAGGAGCTGGAGGACTGCAGGTATGTCTACCATTTAAATGTTTGTTCTGCTGCATTGTTGATAAAACTTTGATTTTGACACTTTAATTTTAACTATAGGGATACTCTTTATTTTTGCAGCTGTTTCCTTGGAAAACTTTAGTTCTTCCTTAAATGCATCTTTCAACCAAACCATGGAAATGCCGTTTTAACAGTGGTATTTTAACAGTGGTACTGAGGTGATACCTCACTGAGTATTCTCTCATAAAAACTCAGGGGCCCTATTTTAGGCTGTGCTGTTGAAATTAGAACATTGTTTTTGCTACAACTGTCTTAGTGTTCTTTTTCTGTCCTCCAGTCAGAACAGGTTGGTTCCACAAAGAAGAAGATGAAGCTTTTCTCTAAAGGACAAGTGCATATGGAAGCCACTGTTAACAAGACGGCTTACGACCCAGGTAGTCGGATTCCTTTTCAGTTATTAATTGTCAGTCAGTCAGTCATTTTCTACCGCTTATTCCATAGTGGGTCGCGGGGGAGCTGGTGCCTATCTCCAGCAGTCTATGGGCGAGAGGCTAAAAGTCTTTTTGGCAGGAATAGAGGTTGGCATGGATTTGTTATCTTTCACTTAAACAGAAATTGCATGACATATGTTATAAGGACATTTGCTCCTGAAAGTGTTCACAACCCTGTTTAAAATGATATGTTTTTGATTGTGATGTAAGAAAAATTGGATGATGATGAAGCTTTTCAATCTTAAATGTCAATTACATTCATTACAATTTAGGTGAAAACAAGTTTAATAAAAGAAAAACTCTAATACATAAAAGGCCACATTAACCAAGTTGAATGGTGCACAGCCTTAAGCTAATAGTTTCCTACAGCAGCCTTTAATTCAGTTTTAGACTTTGGTCTTCTTGAATATAGTACCTGGCATCAATTATAGTGAATCTGCTCAACTAGAAAAAAAGTTCAGCTTGCAGAGAAGTTGCAAAGAATTAAAATAATTTAATTGTTTCAAAGAAAAATCTACGAAAATATGAAACAACACTAAAAACATTTCTCCAAAATGATGAGATTTAAACAGGGCCGGTCAGGTTGGCCAGGAGGCCAACAGCAACACAGAACAAGCTGCAGGTTTTTCTTACAAGAACTTGTGTTCTACATATGAAAACAGCTGTATTCTCTGTCTGGGTTAAGGAGTAGGGTCAGAAGATCCTCAGACCTGGCTAAAATCTGAAATCTTGTGGCAGAATGTTTTGATGAAACCAAGTCGAACTTTTGGGCCATAATACCGAATACTATGTTTGGTACAAAAACGATACTGCACATCAACAGAAGATCACCACACCCACAGAGAAAAATAGTGATGGCAGTATCATGCTCCATGGTTATTTTTTTCAGATGTATCTGAGGTTTTCCTCAAGGTTGATAAGCTATGAAGTGTTCCATCTGTCAGTTTTTCCTTCAAGAGTCTGCTAGAAAGCTAAAGAGCAAGAGGCATAGTAAAGAATAGACATAACAGATGTAGCAGTCTTTCACAAGTCCTAAGATGTTTTAGAAATTTAAATCTAATGTGTTCACTAGTGAAAATATAAATGAGCATACACCAATAGTTCTACTGTGTGTTGTATGAGTTCATCTGTTATCATTAAAATGTTGGTAATCACACCATAACATCAGAGGTTAAACCATTTGCACAAACCTACACCGGTACCAATACATAGTAGGTAAATAGGAAAAACTCCACAGAGAAAGGTCAAATCTGAGATCTTATCTAGAAACCTTGCAGTGAGGCTACAGTTCTAGGTGCTGCACTGTGAGATCATCCTGTCATCCTGTCAGAAAAGAGAAAAAGGCATATATGAGTTATATAAAGCTGACAGGTTGCTATTTCTTCTTATTGGCTAAAGCCATGGCCTATAGGTAGGTTAACAGCAATCAAAATGTTCCTGCTATTCATTTATTCATCTTCTATAACCGCTTATTCTATAGTGGGTCATGGGGGAGCTGGTGCCTATCTCCAGCAGTCTACGGGCGAGAGGGAGGGCACACCCTGGACAGGTTGCCAGTCCATCGCAGGGCAAAGATCTTACTGCTAGTTTAATCTTAAAAAATGATTCATTGAAGGAAGACTACAATTAAGTTGGAATGAAATTTGATACCTGGGATCATGGTTGACTTATTCTAAGAACAGCAGGATGACTAGACTTATTTTGTGATTGTCGCCACAGCCAGAATTTTGCAAAACAGTGGTCAATAAAAGGCTAACATTTTGTACTAATTAATGATCTTTATGTCATATAAAACGTGTTACTTTTACAGGCTATTACTATTAGAGGTGACTGTGGCTCAGTAGGAAGAGTAGTTGTCTTGCAATCAGAAGGTTGTTGGTTCATTTCCAGCTTCTTCCTGCCATATGTTGATGTGCCCCTGTGCAAGGCAATTCACCTCAAGTTGCTTTGAGTGGTCTGTATGACTGGAAAAGCGCTATATAAGATCAGTCCATTTACTATTTCTTATATGATAAAAATTCTAGGCTTAGGTTTTGTGCAATGATTGAATTTGAAATATTAAGATATTCTTTCTTACAGGTGAAACTATGCAGATATTTGCAAAAGTCAACAACGCTTCTTCTCGAGACATGACTCCTAAATTTAGTTTGACGAGGATTTTTTATTTTTGAGCCCAAGGACACAGCAAAAGGGTGGGATACACTGTCCACAAAGTGGTTGATAAGGTAAAGATCCCCACTGATGAGATGGCTTCGATTGAAAACTGTGATATTATCTCAGTGACACACCAATTAAAGGTATGTAATGTTACAACCACAAAACCTTTTATTTAAAGCATTTTTACTGGAACATTTTTATGTTTTAACTGTGGTGTTCTTTTGATGCTGTTTTAAAAAGGTGAATCATTATCTTTTCATCAGGCATGCATGTTTGGTGCTCAAAACAATGGGACTGTGGATCCTTATCCTGTTGGGGCTTTTGGTGGTCCAACTAACAGCGACTTCCCTCCCCCTGCTATGGCTATTGGTCCTTATCCTGCCCCACCACCTTCAGGTCCATATGGGTACCCAGGCGCCCAAAGTCCTTCAGCACCACCCCCTGCATACCCAAATTACCCAGAGTTTAATTGTGGACATCCACATGTCCTCCATATGGATCTCCATATTCATCCTCCTCTTCCGTGCTTCATCCCCCACCGGCTGCCCCAGCATTCCACATGCCTCCTTCGGGCCATCAGATCCAGCCACCTTTCTCCTCTGTGTCTCCTTCAGCTCCCACTTTCAATCCAAATCCTTCTGCTCCAGACCTGAATGCAGACTTCTTGTCTCAGACGAATGATGTTCCTCCAGCATATACATTGCTCTTCCCATCTCCTCTGGAAAAATCTGATACTAAATAACAACATATTTAAATCATGGCTTAATCATTTATATTAAACCACATAGATTTAACCATGTGGAATAAGAATGCTCCAAAATGTGTTGTTAATGAGTGTGTCTTTACGGCAAAGTCACTGTATGTACGATTTAGAAGTTGTAGTTCTTAAGCAGTACTTAATAATGTTGCTTTACTGTGTAAGGCTACATATGTCTTCTGATGAGTTTAAGTTGCCTGTGGTCATCTGATCAGGTGCTAATATGACTGTAAACCGACTTTCTCAGGAAACGCTATGATAAAAAACCTTAAGAGACATTTAAAGCTTGTATTTTATGCATTCTTTATATTAAAGATCCTTAAAGCTCTGTGTTGAAAATATGTGTGCTTAAATATTAAACTAAGAATATAGTAATGTAAGGGATTTATGATAAACTGGTAAGGTTGTTGAGGTCAAATAATGCTATCACTGATATCCTTGCGGCCTCAACCTCACCCAGTCCGGATGTCGTGAGAAAGAACAGATGAAGAGCAGGAAATTAAGATTAACACAAGTTTAATTTGGAAGATAATAAGTCCAAT